CGGCGCCCGGCCGCGGCGAGCTGAAGGGCGACGAGTCGGGCGACGAGGCCGCGTCGCTGTCGGGGGCCCAGCAGAGGCGCAGGTCCGGGGCGGAGAGGTGCAGGCGGGAGGGCGCCGGGCCCCCGGCGGGCGCGGGCGGCGGCGCGTGGAACAGGGACTCGCGCCGGCGCGTGTGCGGGCTCTCGGGCAGGAACGCCCAGCCTTCGCGGCCCGCCAGGTGCGGCAGCGAGCAGGCCGCGGGGAGGCCGCGCCGGGACGGGGGCTCCGCCCCGCCGGGGTCCGGAAGCCGAGGCGGGATGAAGAACTGCGGGATGCGGTCGGGGGTGAGGACGTTGGGGCAGGAGCGCGCGGGCGGGCCCGGGGCGCGGCGCTTCGGGAACAGGCCGCAGGGCGCCCACCAGGCCCTGGGCTCCGCGGTCCCCACCTTGCAGCCAGCCTTCTCCAAGAGCCACATGCGCGGCGGTGGGGGCGCCGAACGTGCCGACCCTGCGAGGCCGACCGCGTCGAGACGCGGCGTCTCGGCGGAGGCCCCGGGCGGAGCTGGGAGGCTGGAGGAGAGAACAGGGGGAGGCGGGCGATGCCGCGAAAGGACGCCTGGCCGCCCGCCTCCGCTGCGCGCTCTCCCCGGGCCCAAGTGCACGAGCCCCTATTTGGGCGGGAAAAACCCAGGGCAGCGAAGTCTGGGGGCCGGGGAGAAACAGAAGAGCCCGGGGCCGGACAGTCACGTTTTCAGAGGCAGGCCTCGGACATCCGGGCACACGGACTCTCCCACTGACACTAGAGAGGTCACCCCCTTCCGAGTTAGCAGGCCCAGCATACCCACGACAGCCCTAGGCTCCCCTCAGGAGCCTAGAATAACACCGACTTATCAGGCCAGTCGTCACAGGAGCCCAGATCCCAAACCCCGTTCTTACACGCGCTCCCCCTGAAGAGACGCCTCGGCCCTAGGCTGGCTCACCCCCTCTCCCTGTGCATTCCAGACACTCAGGGCATCCTCCGAGGTCTGGTCTGAAGCCCCTCGGGACCGCCCACTGCGCCCCCGTTCCCTGTCTGGGCTGCGCCCCCTGTCCCATGGCGAGCTTCTTCAGGCTGAGGCATCCTTAGGCCCCCGCCCCACCTGCCTCCTGCTGCTCCTCCCTCGCCTTCCGGAGTCGCTCGAGGCCAGAAGTAGACTCTCCGCACACCGGCGGATGCCATGCGAGCATACAGGTCCAGTCCCAGGAGACGCACCCCCTGGGGGGAGGGTACAAAATCCCCCCGCCCCTTAAGCCCTGATGGTCCCGTTCCTGGCCTCCCAGCCCCACCTCATCCTGAGTCTGCAAGGCCGTGTGGCCGCCCCGCCCACTCTCCACTTCTTTCTCCCTAAGAAACCACTGGGCACAAAGGCTGCATTGATTCTCCTCCACCCCCAGCGGGCCGGGAGGCTCCGCCACCGGGAGCGCACCGCACCCGCGCGCCGCACCCCCACGAGCGTGCTGTTCTGACCGTGTGCCTGGGTGTCTGAGGCCACCGCGGGCTCCGTCGGGGAGCTCAGAGCGCAGGCCTCACCTGTGGGCAGCCGCTGGCTTCTGGCCTCTGCCCGGGAGGCGTTCAGAGGCCCGAGCTGAGCAGCTTCCTCTCCAGCTTGCTCCCCCAGCCCAGTCCTTCTGGGAGGAGCTGGCAGGGGCCTCCGTTGCCTACGTAGGACCTCTTTTCCTGGATAAACACAGCTCTGTCTCTGTGGCCATCAGCCCGGCCTTCTTAACTCCTTCCTCCAGCCAGGTTTCTAGCAGCAAGCCAGCTCTCTGTCCCGGCCTCTCCTGCTGGGCCTGGGCTGCTTGGGAGTTGGTAAGGGCTGCAGCAAAGAGGGAAGTGGCCATAAGTGGCCAGTGGCCTCCATCTCTCTGTGCTGCGCTGGCCCCACCCCAGCCCTCCTAGGTGAAGCCAGTAGCCATGGCCGCACAAGTTGCATTTTCTGCAAAGCCCTCCTTGCTGGAATCCTGCCTTGGTCCCCATTGTCCCATTTTGGAGCTAACCCAATAGCTCCCAGACAGTGACTTGCAGTGACTAGTTTTCTGAATTACACTGGCCTGAGAAAAAGTAACCAGGCTCAAGACTTCTGGACCTAGAGACATTGAGGGCAGAGCTGGTAACATCAGAGAATCAAGGGCAGGCTGGCCTGTGTCCCCCATCCTTGGCAGAAGGCTGTTATACTGTAAACATGGAAGATGTCCCTCCCCTCCCCACAGGCAGATCCTAGGAGGCAGAGGTCACAGCTGACAATAGGAGACCATCGCCTGCACTCCAGGCAACACCCACCATCCTCTAGTCTCTCAAAGGCATCAAGTCATTTCCTCCTTAGGCCCTTTGCACAGGCTGCCTCCTCTCCAAGGACCACTCCTTCATCCTTCAGATAGCATTCAGCTTCATTCATTCATCCATCCATCCGTCCATCCATCCATCCATAGTTCTTTACTACCTTCTCTGTGCCAGACACTGTGCTGGACTCTGGCGACTTAGCAGTGAGAAAACAGATAAATCTCCTGGGAGTTTATACTTTAGTGGGGGAAAGAAAGACAATAGACAAAATAAATTATTAGATGGAAATCAGTGTTGGGGAGAAAATTAAAGTAGAGGAGTCTGATAGAGCATGTCAGGCGAGTATACAATTTTAAATAGAGCGATCAGGATGGCCACCTTGAGAATGTAACATTTCGGTAATGCTGTGTAGGAGAGAGGAAGGATATGTGAGGGGAAAGCATTCTAGGCAGAAAGAATTGCAAATGCAAAGGTCCTGGGACAGAGCCATGCCTGCAGTGATCAAGGAGACAACAGAATGTAGTTGGAAGAGAACGAGTGAGGGGGAGACTCTGTTGGGGCTTGTAGCCACTGTAACAACTTTAGCTTTTACTTGTGGCAAGCTGGGGAGTGATGTGACTTGACTTACACGTGAAAAGGGTGCTCTGGTGTTGAGAACAGAATGAAGGGGATAAAGGCGTAGGTAGGTAGACCAAACAGAAGACTATTGAAATAATCTGTGCACATGACTGGGGCATGGGTCAGGGTTGTAGCAGTCAGTTTCTGGGTATATTCTGAAGATAGAGTCAGTAGGATTTCCTGATGGATCCATCCCCATCAAAAGAGAAAGAATGAGCCAAGGTTTTTGGCCTGAGAAACCGGAAGGATGGAGTTGCCATTTTTTATTTTTCTATTTTGACCTTTTCTTTTCTTTAAGAAATTTTATTGGTGAACAGTGTGTCTTTCCAGGACCCATCAGCTCCAAGTCAAATAGGTGTCTTCAGTCTAGTTGTGGAGGGTGCAGCTCCTTGGCCCATGTGGGAATTGAACCGGCAACCTTGGTGTTATGAGCCTGCGCTCTAACCACCTGAGCTAACCGACCGCCCCTGGAGTTGCCGTTTTTTGAGAGGCAGAGTATTAGGAGCTCAGTTCTAGGGTCTATTAAATTTGAGATGCCTGTTAGTCATCTAACTGGAGATGTTGAGTAAGCAGCTGAATATGCAAATCTAGAGCCCAGAGGAGGGGTCCAGGTTGGAAGTAGAAATGTGGGCACCAAGAGAAACATAGATGGGGCCAGCCGAGCGGCGCGTTGGTTAAAAACTGGCTTGGGACGCCAGAGGGCCCCGGTTCGGATCCCGCATATGAGGGCCAGTGACACTGCCCTCTACAGCTAAGATGCTGAACACCAGCTTGACCTGGAGCTGGGTTGCTGTGAGTTGCCTGCGACAGCGTAGGCTGCAGCCCCTGCTGCAGTGGGTTGCCATGGGCTACCGTGGTAGCCAGCAGCCAGCATGAGCGGCCAGCAGCTGCAGTGAGCGGCCATCCAGAAGCCGGCGACTGATCTGCCTCGCCCGGGAAGAGCGCAATGATGGTGCAAACTTGGGTCAGTGGGGCAACGTCCTCCACAACTAGACTGAAGAACGAAAGGACAGCAACTTGTCTGTTCCCCTTCCCCCAATTCCCCAGCATTGTTCCCATACCCCAATTCCCCAATAAAAATCTTTAAAAAAAAAAAAAGAGAAACGTAGATGGAATTTAAAGTCACGAGACTTGATGAAGTGTAGGAAAGAAAGAGAAAGGATCCAAGGACTGAGTCGTGAGTGCTCCAACATTTAGAGGCGCAGAGGAGGAGGAGTCAGCTGTGCCGGATGCTGTGGCAAGGTCCTGGAAGATGAGGACCCAGAACGACCATTGGGTTGTGCAATGCGAACTCATTAGTGACTTTGACAAGAGCAGTTTCGGTGGAGTGATGGAAGCAAAAGCCTGATTGGAGTGGGCTTGAGAAAGAGTAGGAAGAAGAGAGAGAGAACAAAGACAACTCTTTTGAAGAGTTTGCTGAAAGAGAAGGGAGAAATGGGGTAGCGGCCAGAGGGGAAGAGTAATCAAAAGAGAATTAAAAAAATATTTTATTGGGGAATTGGGGTAGGGGAACAGCCAAGTTGTTGTCCTTCAGTCTTAGTTGTGGAGGGCGCAGCTAGCTCAGCTCCAAGCCCAGTCACCATCCGGCCACCCGGCGGCAGCTCACGGCCGCTCAGCTCGAGGTACTGTGTTCAATCTTAGTTGCGGGTGGGCATAGCCCACCATCCCTTGCAGGAGTCAAACCAGCAACCTTGTTGTTAGGAGCATGTGATCTCACCAGCTGAGCCATCCTGCCACCTGTTGAGAGCTCAGCGGCAGCTCAGCTCGGGCGTAGCTCACTGGCCCATGTGGGAATCGAACCGGCAACCGTGTTGCTCAGAGCTCACGCATTTAACCAACTGAGCCACTCTGCCGGCCCCAAGAGAGAACTTTTTAAATGTCAGAAATAATAATATGTTTGTAGGCTGACGGGAAAGATCGAATAGAAAAGGGGAAATTGATGACGCAGAAGAGAGAAAGGAGGATTGTTGGAGCAATATTTCTGAGTAGACAATACAAAATCGGTATCACGCATAAGAAATAGATCTCGGGGTTGTCCTTTGCCTGCTTTGTGGACCGTTCACCCACAGTTACCGGAAAGAAGACAGAATAAGTGGGTGGGGGCTGTAGGTGGGGAGATGTGGTACCGGTGGTGGGAGCTGGTTCTCTCCGGATACTTCTGATTTCCCAGTGAGACAGGAAGCAAGGTCATCAGCTGAGGGTGATGAAGGGGAGGAGGTGGTGCTAGGGGTCTGAGTCGAGAGGACCAGAAATGGAACAGTCCTGGGACGGCAGGAAAGAGAATGGTGTGGGTTGGTGCAGGATGACTGCTGGGCAATGTTACGAGCCCGCTTTAGGATGGTGACCTTGACTTTAGAATGAGACCAGACAGTGTGAGTGTGTGTGTGTGTGTGTGTGTGTGTGTGTGTGTGTGTGTTTTCTCTAGCTGTGTTCAGCCGTGCAACGTACAGGGGCAAAACTGGCAGAGATGGGGATTTGGCCAGAAATGTGGTCAATCTTTGATGGACCCCTTCCCTGCTCCCTCTCTCCCTCCATTTCGTTCTCTTGGTGGATATTAAATTGAGGGTGCATACAAGAGTGCACACCCCTTGGACTGTACAGCAGTGACATTGAAAACTGACCACAGGTAACCCACAGCTGGACTGTATTACTCAGGGTCCCATCAGGAAAACGGCACTTGCAAGGCAGTTCAACAGAGGGAGTTTAACCCAGGGAACTTGTTACAAAGGTGTTGGAAGAGCTAAAAAGACATAAATAGGATTACGAGGCTGTCTAGCAGGATCTGTCACCATGGAGACATAGTTACTGCTTTGAATTGCTTCCCAAAGCAAAGAGAAGGGAAGAAATACCCTGACTTCTCCTGACTTCTCACCTTCCAGTCTGCCACCAGGGCCTCCCACAGCCAGATGGCAAAGGAAGCTGGGAAATGTAGTTTGTCGGCACTAGCCTATGGCAACCTATGGCAGAGGTGGGGAAGGGTGGGGATCTGAGAGCCATCAAGTAAATGACTGGCACACCGGGTAGCCAAAAGTTGACTTAATTGGAACAATAGGATACCAGATCTGGAAGGAACTTGGAAGTCACCTCGGAGTAACCTCTCCTTGTAACAGAGCAGGAAACAGACCCGGAAAGAGGCCATGTGGCAAACAGCTGCAGAGTTGAGAGTTTGCTGTCTTCTGTCTCCAAGAGCATTTGTAGCCCAGGGGTCTTCCAAGGTGAGCAGAGCTGCTCCCTTGGAGGAGGGCTGACAGGGCTGCCTCCTCACCTCTTCCAGCACCATTGCTGCCACTCCTCGAGGACTTTGCAGGTGACCCAAGGGCTCTGACCTTATATTTTTTTGCTGATGTCAAAGGACGCTGAGAGGACTGGGCAGCACAGAGTGCTGTCCTGGGTTCGAGCCCGATGAAGACGTAGAGAGGGGACAGGCCTTCCCTCCAGGTAGGCAGGCAACTGCTACAAGACTCCCTGGGCTTCTGGGGCTCGCTAAGCTGTGTGTTCTGTGGCCTTGAGCTGTGGCCTTGGGCAGCACGGTTTGGCCACTAGTGCCCACTGCGGGTGCTGGCAGGTGAGAGGGTTGGTGATACGCAGTGTCTTGTACTTTGGCATTTCACCCCGGACCTGTGCTGAGTGACCTAGCTCCACGGTCTTTGTTCCAGGAAGGCGTTACGGGTCCCTTCTCTAAGAGCTGGGATCAGCTACTGATGTCCCTTTCCTTTTTGAACTGTTTTTTCTTACATTTGCCTTGTCTACTCTTTGCTCTGTGGTTTCTCTTGGCACTTGACTTGGGCACCGGAATAACGTCGCCTCTGCTTCAAGCAGGATAAGCTGCCGCCTTTGCTTGGACGGCCTGGATCCCATAGCACCTTCCTCGGCAGCAGCACACTCGAGGTGAATGAATGCACTGCACGTGGGAACGGGTGTTTTAAGGGTGGAGGCAGCAACTCCTCCCGTTTATGCCTAGAAAGCTGCAGTACTTGGCCTCCCGGAGAGAGAGGTGTCTGTCAAAAGCCCTAGACACTAACTAAGACGTGTTCCAGCAGCCGAAGACCTTATTTCCCTCACCCAGATCCCTGCCTGCCTCCCCGCTCCACTCTGGCTGGCGGCCTCACCTGTACCAGCAGAGAAGTGCCAGGATGCATCCAGCCTATTTTAATGTGGAAACTCAAGTATAACTGTTTTGTTTTGCTTCTTTTTCTTGACTGCATAGGAAGGCTGGAATGTCTTTCTCTTCTCCTGGGAGACCTTAAGTGAAGATTTGGCTTTTCTTGACCACGAATAAAGGGCAATCAGGTTTTTGGTATATGATGATTTAGACTCTGGGTTTAACAGATTATCAAGGGCAACTGGGAAAGCACAAAAGGAGGAAAGGGGTTTTTCTGTGAGTTTATGGGGGGAGGAGATAGTTGGTTGCCACAAGCGTTTTGATGTGTGTCTAGCTTTTGGAGTGCGCTGGGTCAAGGCCCTGCAAATCCGTGTTCGCCAGTCCTTGGCATGTTATTCAAGACTGATGGCTTAGGAAGTGTGTGGTCTAGTTACTGGAAAGAGAACCTCACCCACTCACCTACCTCCCACTGCTGAATTTGTGCACAGCTCTCTGACCCTGTCCCATGCAACAAAGGGGTTCATCTCGCAGATTCCCGGGATCCCCAACCCCAGCCCCTGAGCCTGGAGCCTCAGCTTACACCTGAACTTGAATTCTTCACTTGCTGAAATAAGGGTTTAGACACAGGCTCTTTCTTCCTCTGCTCAAACTGAGGCCATGACTGCTAGCTCCTCACCAAACCCTTTTCCTTTCTTCTACAACGTATACTGATGGTATGTTTTCCAATCAACCTCCCTTGCAGTTTGGTGGAGCCTTGTGACTGTGTTCTGGCCAATGGAAACACTTAGAGACTTGGCCCCAAACCCCCCCCCCCAAACCTTGTGATTCTCTCTTCTCTCATCTGGCAACTGGATTTCAACACCTAGGATGACTTTGGAAGTCCAGATTCCTGACTGACCCCTAGACACCACCAACTGGACTTTTGTGAGTGAGGGGTACATTCTACTTAAGCTACAGGTTAGGCTATGGAGGTGTTAGGTCGCTCTGTTTCAGCATTTGGCCTTACCATACCTGATAACAAAATCCTTTATGTCCCTTGGAGCTTGCAGTCTTTGGTAAAACTCCTCCAGTCCTTGACCTCTTCCTGGATATTCCTTCTACCTGCTGGCCTTGATGGCATCCTGCCTGTCCCTGTGGCAGCTGCTCAGGTCCCCACCCAGAGGGGGCAGTGGCCATTCTGTCCTCCAGTTCATGTTCTTCACGGCAAACCTTCCCTCCTTAGAAATGTGCACCAGCCATGTCACTCTTTCTTCTCTTACCACTGTTCTCACCGGCTTGCCCGCCAGCGCCCATGGGTCTTGACAGCCAGCTCGCACCTTCCTCTTACCCCAGGTCGGTGCCACTGGAGGTTAGGACCTGTTTTCCACCAGCAGCCGGGCCCTCAGCATGCACAGGCCACATGTACCTGATCACTTTGTTTTCCTGCTCTCCACAGTGACTCTCCACAGTGACTTAGCCGATGCCTTGCCCTCCTCCAGACCTCTGTCCCACTGATGAGAAAGCGGAGGTGCTCTGGAGGGAACCCCCTCAACTTCTTGTCCTCCTTAGCACCCCCACTCCTTTCTTTTGGCCTGAGTCATGCTGATCTTCTCCTGTGACTCCTGTCTCCCTCCACCTGTGCACTTGGTGAACCCCTAAGCCCAGATAGCTGTTCTGTGAGACGACACCTCTCTCTCTGTCTCCTAGAGTCTCAGCCTCTCTCCGCTGGCTCCTTCTAAAGCAATTTATATTATATAATTATATGTTATATCTATATATATTATATATTATAAATATATTATTATATAATAAATATACTCAAACCTCTTTCTTTGACTATGGTGACAATGATATGATTCCCAGAAAGAACCACCTAGATTCACCTCATCATCCCCATTCATTTTTTCATCCACTATAATCTGGGTTTCACTCCACCTCCTGGCAAGGAGACCACCATCTTCCCCATGGCCACATCCGAAGTTCTCTTCTGCCCGTCCTTCTCTTTAGCATTTGGGACTGCGAGACTCACCCTCTTAGGGACTCACCCTCTTAGGGACTGTCACTCCTGTTCTGTTCTCAGCCTCCTTCGTGGGCCTTTGGTCCTCTGCCTCAACCTGAAGCCTTAGTGTGACCAAAGGTTCTATCTCTGACTCCTTCCCCCTTCCTTCTTTGCTCTCCCCTCCTCTCCCCGCCACTCTCCTCGCCTCCACCTCATGTCCACTCTGCGTAATCCACTCCCCAGAGTTCCATGCCAATTTTTACACGGATGACTTCCAAACTGAGTCAGCAGCTCATCAGTCTTGAGCTGGAAATCACAACACCCAGCTTCCTGCTGGTGCTCGCCACATGGTGGAAGTTGTGTGGGCGCTTGGAGCGCAGTGCACGTTAAACCAAGCTCATTATCCGCCCCCACCTCAAACCTTCATATCCCCAGTGATGCCTCTTGGAACCTGGGGTCACCGTCCTAGGCTCCCCTGCACAGACCCACTACACAGTAGTGGTAAAGTCCCGTCCTCTGTTGTCTGCAGCGTTTCTCGTTTATCTCATCCTCACGGCCCTTACTATCTCTCGCTTGGAGCCCTGTAGGGGTCTCCTAACCAGGGCTCCCACCTTCAGTCGTGCTGATTTCTTACTGCCCCTAGAGTCATCTTTTATTATTCTTCTTTAAGATTTTATTGGGGAATTGGAGGGGAACAGCGCTGGGGAATTGGGGGAAGGGGAGCAGACAAGTTGCTGTCCTTTGGTTCTTCAGTGTAGTTGTGGAGGACATTGCTTCACTGGCCCATGTTGGTATTATCATTACGCTCTTCCCGAGTGAGGCAGTCACTCGCCAGCCATTGGCTGGCCGCTCTCGGCAGCTCTCAGCAGCTCATGAAAGCGCATGCCCGCTGCCTACCAGCCCCACTGCAGCCTACGCCGTTGCCGGCGACTCCCGGCAGCCCAGCTCCAGGTCAAGCTGTTGTTCACCATCTTAGCTATAGAGGGCGCAGCGTCACTGGCCCGCATATGGGATCCAAACCGGGGCCCTGCTGCTCACAGCTGGCGTCCCAAGCCAACTCCTAACCAATGCACCACTTGGCCAGCCCCAGAGTCATCTTTTTAAAGAAACAAAGCTTTATGTTATCCCCCAGTCCAAACCCTGTGAAGGCTCCCTGTTGCTTTCAAAACAAAGTTCAAGCTCCACAGCAGGGATAAGGGAGCCCTCCAGGGTCTGGCCCTGCCCCTTCTCTTACCCTAAACTTCTGCCCCATGACCCCTGGCTGTTCTCCAAGGTCACTGTTCTTCATACTTCTGTGCCTTTGCTCTGCCCAGTTCCTCTGCCTGTAGTAGCCTCTGTCCCCTGCCTGCCTGGTGAACATCACTTAACTTTTGAGGTCCACATCTCAAGGCCAGCGGCTTTCATTGCCATGTGCTCGGTGCCTCGCCAGTGCCTGGTGCCCAGCAGGTGCTCAGTAAATCTCTTCCGCTGGTGCTGACTGGGAAGGTGGGTGTGTGGGAGGCTCCGGATGGATTCTGATTTCCAGCTACAGAAGGGTCTTGGGCTGAAAATGGGGCTGTGTGACTTTATTTACTCAGAGGACAGTGCCCTGGCCCTCTCCTCACCAGCCACTTCCCTGGGGAGCCCTCCCTGCTCTGTGGCGGGTCCAGGCAGGCTGCACAGTCAGTGACTGTTACTGGGACGACTCCTCTTCCAGCTGCAGCTGAAGGAAGATGCCTGTAAGAGAAATGGCAGGAAGGAGGGCACCGATGGCGGAGCTTGCTGGAGCCCTGAGCACCTGCACCCAGTTCCCCAGGACCCCGATCCTGCCCTGGGCTCCCCCTCACTCACCCATGCCTGCGGCAGGTGCCCCACCCCAGGCTAAAAAGCTGGACCCCAGCTTGGGACTGGCTCCTCAGCGTGTCTCCTTCCATCTGTTCTGGGGGTGGTGGTGGCAAGACTGGGGCTGACGGACCTGCTTACCTGAGGACTTGGCGTAGACGGTCTGCTGGTCTTTGCTCTGGGCGACGCAGGACATGTAAAGCTTCTGGTCTTCAATCTTTTCCACATCAACGTTCAGTACAGCCAGGGAGCCCACAGGGATCAGGCTGGGAGAGGAGGCAGCATAGCCTTGTGTGAATCCCTGGCCCCCATCCCTTCACCTCTCTGTCCCCCCACTCATCCCGACCTGCCTCAAGGACTTAGGGGGCTCTGGGCTCTGGGCCCGCCTGCCAGCTCCCAGAGTCCGACGGCAGAGGCAGCCGGCTGGGGAAGGAGAGTGACAGGCAGGGCTCCCACACCCCAACTGCCAAGGATGGCCACTCCCTCCGTGATGAAAAGGGCCATGACTTTGGCCAGCACCCCAAGGATCCAGTACTTACTTTTTGAACCTGATGCTCAGGTTTAGTGTGAACAGCCCCTCTCCAGCCAGGTAGGCAGTTTTAGAAAATGTCTCGTCCATCATGGCTGCCAGGGACCCTCCGTGGGCAAAGCTGGGGGCGGGGCAGGGAGCCAGGCCAGGGCTGCAGCGCTGGGCAGATGGCTCCCCCGACCTGAGCTGGAATCCCCCTGCCTCTGCCTTTCCCCAGGAAACGAAAGGAAACAGCTGGATCTCGTCTGATCAAAAGCCAGCTGAGCTTCTCTGCTTTGCTGCTTCAGCGGGTGTTAGCATCCACTGATACAATTATTTGATTTCACCGGGAAACCCTTTTTTTTTCTGATAGAGTTAATAGATTCTGATTCATCAACTCATTGCCAGCAGCAATCACCATTATTTGAAAAGGCGCACTCGCACAGAGATTGGAAAAGCCCCCAAACTTTTTGGCTTAGCTTCTGAGGAACAGCCTCGGGCCAGCCCTCACCTTACCAGTCGCTCCAGCCAGTGCTGACCCGTAAATGTGAACTGTAACTTATGACCCATAAAGTAACTTGTGACCTAAAAAGTGTCCACCAGATAGGCTTCTGAGGACTGCTGCCCACGAAGGCTGAGAGCCGGCTAAGCTGGACGTGACAAACATCTGCTTTATTTAAAGTGCAACAGACCCTCATTCTCGCTCATAAGCTGACCTTCACGCCAAAGCTGCTTCATTGTTGGTTACATTGGGGCAAATAGAAAGGCATCACACTTTAAAATGCAGGTGACACAAAACAGATTCAAGTTTCTGATATATGAGACGGAAGCCCAGTGCACACACCCCCACCCAGCTCCTTGGGGAGAAGTAGGGACCCCAGGGCCTGGGGTGCCCAGTCCACCTGCTGAGCCGAGCCCAAGAAGCTGCCAAGGCCGTCCACCCAGGCCCGGCCTGTGGTCTTACCCTGGGGCCCCCTCCAGGTAGGGACCTGGTTGGAAAAGACAGACGGACTTCTTCTTGGATGGGTGGAAAAAGATGACATACTCATAGCCTTGTCCATCCACTTGGATGCACCTGGTGAAGATGCGCCACTCACTTTTGTCTGGGGAGAGATGGACAATGTCACAGCTGGAGAAGGGAGGGCGTGAGGGCGTGGGGCCCCACTCAGGACACAGGGCAGGGCATTCGGCACCATGGGGGAGCCCTGCCTCAGGCACAGGGTCAAGGAGAGAACCAGAAGACACCCAGGCTCCACCCTCAGGGAGCCTTCAATCAGAGACCAGAGGCACAGCCCTATCCCCCAGGAGCCCTCTGTCTGGAGGGAGAAACACTCGGGAAGTTCCCTGGCTGAAGGTGGAAATAGGATTAGGACCAGGTGAAGACTTTCCCAGACCTTACACATTGAAAATTCAAAATATAGCTCCTGTAATTCACATGATTCAAATTAACAATACTAAACAGCAAAATAAGTGCAGAAAAGTCCATGAAAATTCTAATTTACCTCCAAGACAACTACGACTGCATTCTTTTTTAAAAAAAGATTTATATTAAAAATATAGCTAACAGACAATATTGTGTTAGTTTCAGGGATACACCATAGTTATTCAACATTTATGTACCTAAAGAAGTGATCACCATGATAAGTCCAGCAACCATCTGACACCATACTATGCTATCACAATATTATTGACTATATTTCCCATGCTCTACATTATATCCCTAAGACTTATTTGTTTTATCCCTGGAAATTTGAGCCTCTTATTCCCCTTCACCTTTGCCCTGCTTTAAAAATTTTCCAATTACTGTATGTCTATTTCCTTTGCCAGGTTAGCAAGTTTTTAGTCATTATTTTTTCAAATAGGTTCCCAATCCCTTGCTTTCTCTCTTTTCCTGCTGGTACCCCTGTGATGTGAATATTTTTTACGGTTGATGTTGTCCCAGAGGTCTCTTAAATGCTCCTCATTTTAAAAAATTTTTATTCTTTTTTCTTTTCACTGTTCTGATTGGGTGTTTTATGCTACCTCATCTTCCAAATTGCTGATTTGATCCTCTGCTTCATCTAGTCTGTTGGTGATTCCTTCTAGTGCATTCTTCATTTCAGTTATTGTATTCTTCACTTCTGACAGGTTCTTTTTTATGGTTTCTATGTGCTTTCTTATGCTTGCAATCTCTTTGTTGAAGTTCTCACTAAGTTCCTTGAGCATCCTTTAACCATTGTTCTGAACTCTGTCTCTGATAGGTTGCTTGTCTCCATTTCATTTAGTTCTTTTTCTGAAACTTTCTCTTTCATTTGGAATGTATATCTTTATTTTCTCATTTTGGCTGCCTCTCTGTGCTTATTTCTATGTATTAGGTAGATCTGCTATGTTTCCCAGTCTTGGCCAGGTGGCCTTATGTAGTAGGTGTCCTGTGGGGCCCAGTGGCACAGTCTCCTTGGTCACCTGTTCTAGGTGCTCCAGGAGTGTCCCTCATGTGTGTGCCCTCCTGTTATAGTTGAGCCTTGATTGCTATTGGCATGTCAGTGGGTGTGATTGACCCTCAGGCTGACTGGCTGTGGGCTTTGGCCATGTCTACAGCTTATGAGCTGCTGTGTGGAAGGCTTACCCCACTGAGTGGGATTCGGCCCAGTGGGCTCTGGTGCCTGTTGAGACTGCCTTTTGTGTGTGCCACTTGTGGGGCCAGTTGGGCAGTGCTCTGCTGTGGTCTGAAGCCTGCCTCCAAGTATGTTGGTTCTGGGGCCTCTTGGGAGGGGCTCCAGGTCAGGCCTGAGTCAGCCACTGCATGGACTAGCTGAGGGCTACCTGGTAGGAGCTACAAACCGATTTGCCATTGTTTGATACTTGTGCTAAACCTGGAGACAAGGGGAAGAGGCCACACTGTTAACTGAGGAGGGCTGCCACTAGTACCAGGCCCGGGGTAGCTCTGCAAAAAGCTAGGACACCCAGAGGCCTGCTGCCACCTGCTAGCTCCCTTAAGGTTCAGCCACTGATAAAGTCTCACGTGGTACTTGAGTTGGGTGAAGTAGGGTCTCAGAGAGTCACTAGAGTGGGAAGAGTTGTGGTCACCAAGTTAATGTAGACTCTGTTTTGGTGCCAGTGCTGAGCCTAGACAACTCAGCAGGTTTCAGAGCACACCGAGGCCATTCGCCACCCACCTGGGGCCTGTGGACTCCGATAGTTTTCCAAGAAAGAATGCAATTCAGGAGGGGCTGGCTGCTTCTGGAGAAAGTGCCTCCAGCTGTGTGAGAATTGGGTTGGTGGGGTCCCAGCTGAGTCAGCAGGGTGGAGCAGTGGAGCTCACCAGGCCAATCAGATTCAGATTTGGCCATAGTGGGGGTGAGCTCAACGCAGGAAAGATGGCGTCCACCTGCTGGCTACACTAAGGTGGACGCTTCACCAGGAAAATGCCGACTGTTCTCCAGTTCTCCTGCTGAAGCCATACACCTCAGTCTGCCCCCTGAATGTCTCCAAGGACCCCTGAGTCACCGTCCTTCCGCTGGAGCCCACGGTGAGTGCCTGCAAGTGAGTCTGTGCACGGGCTGTTTAAGAGGATGTGTAGGTTTCCCGCAGCCTTCTGTCCCACCTGAATCGTTGGAATCTCTGCTGTTTTTCACAGCCAGATATTGTGGGGGCTCCTCTTCCTGGCACCAGTACGCTGGGCTTGGGTGTCTTGTGTGAGGTTTGGGCCACTTGCTCCTCTGGGGGGAACCTCTACGGCCGCGATAGCCCTCCTGATTTTCAACCACCACAGGGAGGTTTGGGGCCCGTTCCGCGTCTCTGTCCCTCCTGCCAGTCTCAACGTGGCTTCTTCTTTATATTTTTAGTTATAGGACTTCTGTTTGCTAAATTTCAGGTGGTTCTCCAGGTTGATTGTTCTATAATTTAGTTGTAATTTTAAGGTGTTCACGGAAGTACATAGGCAGTACTTATGTACTCCTCCATCTTGTATCCTTCCAAGTACATCCTTTTTGGACGGATACCAAATTCTTTTAAAAAGATTATTTTGGTGCTGCAGCTTTGTTTGTGCCGTAAACCCAAGGGTAGTCTGCCTGCTGTACTCCCTATTCATTACTGGGCAAGAAAACCACATGTGAATGAGAGAGGCAAGGAAACATAGACACACACACGCACACACACATGAAGAAGGATGGAGGGGTAATGCTGCATCAGTTTGATTGGTGGGTGTTTCAGGAGAGGTGGTCTCAGCCTAGCAAAGCAGGGACAGTGTGCAGGCGCCTCTGGTGGGGGAGGGGTCCCAAAAGCATTTGGGGTTGTGGAGGGGCACTTGGGATGAGACAGAAGGGCAGAGAGATGAGCTGGAAGTTCTCCAGGGGGAGCCACTAGGGTGTGTCTCTCTTCAGATGGGAGGAGGGGAGCCAGAGAGCAGAGAGGACACTCATCCATCTGCCTGGGGCTGCAGCGCGAGGGGTGGAGTTAGAGACCAGAAAGAACTTCTGGCTGAGAACTGGATAGGAGCTGTGAGTTTCCTTCCCCAGCATCTTTGAACACGGGGAAAGGGGTTGGCTGAAACGACCCTGGTGGGCTGGGATGCCTGTGCTGGGGCCCTCTCAGGCCAGGCCTTACCCGAGGTCACTGCTAACCCGGATGGGAGCTTGAGCCCTTGGATGTGGTCTCTGTTGGACTTGAAGGAGGGCAGTTTGATCCAGCCATCGGCTTTGGTCTTCTCCAGAAATTCCTGGTACAGGCTCAGCATGTCCGGACACCAGCTGGCATTGGGAAGGGCATAATCCTTCAAGTCTGTCTTCTCCGGGCAGAATCTTGAGACCTGGGCAGGAAAATTCGGGGAGACTAGACAGCTTCCTGGGGGTGGGGTGGGATGGGGTGGGGACTGCTGCTTGGGAGGAGGGACCTCTAGCTGGTGTGTTCCTGCGTTCTTGGGCTTCTCGACCCCTTCCACCAGTGTTGACTTGAGGGAAATGGCCCTTCTTCCTTGCAGAGGGTTTGGGGACTCCTTGGGTGGCTTTAAAAGGAATGCTAAGGCACAAAGGAAGGAAAGGAAAAGAATTGGGCTGACAATTAGGAGCATGCTGCTCCGTGGCTTGTGCATTACAGTTGTCCTGTTTTAAAACCTGTGAGGTGTGCCTTGGGGCTGTGAACTGCTAGTATTAGCCCCAATGTACAGATGGGAAAACCGAGGAAATATGGCTAAGTCGGCCAAGCTCGTGAGCGCCAGTGCTGAGGGTCAGATCAGAGCCCATTCAGAGGCACTGTCTTCCCTAGGAGGTTGGCCCCAGCTGGTAAGGACTGTGGTTACCATGCCCTCACCTCAGGGGCCACTCCAGCTCTGTCCACAGCTGTGGGCCTGCCCGGGCAGGGTGGCTCACAGAAACATGTTTTGGGTGTTCACAGAGGTGTGGTGCCATCTGTGGGACGAGGAGGAGTCCTCTATGGCATCAAATGCTGATGCACCAATCACAACTGTGGGCAGGGAGCCAGGTGCTTACCAGGCCCACACACAGGGTCCTCTGTCTGGGGACTCCCCAACTCAGCTGCAGCAATCTCAGTCCCATGGGAGAAAAGTGATTACTGGTGGCCACACAAAATTCATGCCAGGAAGCAATGGTCTTGGCGGTCTCGGTTTTGGATCTGGGCTACTTGGAATCCTACCTTCCCTTCGCCTCGTCAAATAGCTCCCCAACACACTGCCCCCCCTGCCCCAGCCACAATATGGAAAGAGGAGATTTGGGGTGCTCCTTTCATCCTGGGCCCCTAGGGGAAGAGCTGTCCGCCCAGCTGAGCTGGGAGCTCACTCACCAGGGAGTCGGTGGACGATCCAAATGCTGAGGTCGGGTTGAGTCTAGGCAGAATGCAGGGAGCACCAGCAAGGGCTCTGCGCTGGCTGAGTCTTGCCGCCACCCGGACAGCTCTCCTGATCATGGCTGAGTGCTGGGATTGAAGCCGCAGGGTCGCTGGCCCACTCCTGATGAGAGGCAGCAAGGCGATGAGAGGCAGCAAGGCGATGAGAGGCAGCAAGGCGAGCGAGTGCTTTTCAGCTGCACCTTGGGGCTGTCGCGCAGCCTCCTCTCAGTCGGGCCTCTCTCCTTTCTGTCACAAAGCTTTCATCAGCGAGCTTCCCCTGCAGGTGATGAGGCAAGCCTGGGCTGGTTTGACACAACACCCCCTCCCCCCAGATGCTGGGGGCCTTTAGCTGGTCCTAGCCCCACCCAGTGCTTGGGGAGGGGCAGGTGCTGGCTGCTTGGGCATGAATGCATAGCTGGGCTGGCTTGAGTTCAGAAAAAAGTATTTTTTAAAGGAGCAAAAAATGTGCATAAAGAAATAGTATAGGGTACACGGAGCTTGGAGAGCTGTCCTGGAGTTTGGGGGGGGGGGAAGGCGGGGTGTTGAGAGAACCCAAGGGAATTCCCAGGAAGATAAGGGAGGGCTGTCTCTTGGTTGGAGAGTGTTGGTGGAGTGTGTGTGTGTGTTGGTAGAGCATTGGTGGTGTGTGCTCCTCAAGCTCTGGTATGATTCCGTGACTCAGAAGAGCAACTCACAGCCCTTAGCCACCCTCTTCTTTAATCCCAGACTAGGAAATGGGAGTGGGGAGAGGAAGAGCTCCTTGGGGGGCCCTGAAGACTGGGAGCTGACTCCAGCCAGGTTGCCCAGGAGGTGGCAAGGGCTGTCCTCCCAAAACGAGCCAGAGGCTCAACCTGAGAAATTCTTGTTTCGTTGCCTGAGAGCCATGTTGGAGCTGGGGTTGTCACCCTTGTATGGCCAGACTTTCTTTGCAGATTGAACCTTTCAATGAGATCTGCATATCTTGCCGCCTGACTAAGCAGTAACACCCTCTGTGAAATAATTAAAAAAAAAAAGTATATTGGTTTTTGCCCCTTGTTCCTGGCACAGAGCTCCTAAAATCCCTTGGAATTTCCTGGGTGATAGGAGTGTCTTTTGTTCTAATGTGGGGATTCTGGGTGGGCTTCTGGATAAGGGCTGGTCACCAGAAAGACCAAACCATGGTTAGAAACTTGGAATTTTCAGTCCCACGTCTCCTCCTTCAGGAAAGGGAGAGCGGATGGAGACCGAGTTAATGATTGATCATGCCTATGTGAAGAAGCCTCCCTAAAATCCCCAAAGTGTGGAGTTTGGAGAGCTTCCTGTTTGGCGTACCCCAACTCCTTGGAGATAGAAGCTTCCACAACTCACCCTATATACCGCTTCATCTGTGTCCTTTATCATAGCCTTTGTTATATAATTAACTGGTAAATGTCAGTGTTTCCCTCAGTTCTGGGAGCTGTTCTAGTAAATGATTGAATCCAAGGAGTGGGACGGTGGGAACTTCCAATTTGCAGCTAAGTCATACAGAACTGTGGGTGACCTGGGGACGTACTACTTTCAATTGGCATCTGAAATGAGGGGCCGTGTCATGGGGCAGAGCTCTTAACCTGGGCTAATCTGGTTAGTGTCAGAGTTGAATTTGTGGGACATCCAGCTGGGATCACAGAGAAATGTTTGGTGGTGGTGGGGGAAACCCTCATATCTGGTGTCAGGAGTGTATGTGGAGAGTGAAGGAGAAACACAGGGAAGTTTTCTTATAGATACCCTTCCCCTTTAGTTGTTTCACAACTTTTGATTAAATCAACTTTCAAATATTTATATCATTATGACTATATAAATGTTGTTCTCAGCCTCACCGCATGTTATAGTTACATGTCCTTTCTTGTATCACGTTTATCTCCCTTGAGTTGATAATTACCAGATTCAGCTGGACACTGCAGGGGACTCGAAGGAGCTGACCAGTGGTTGAGATGACCTCAACCGTCATCTCCCAGCTGGGAGGGAAGAGATTCCACAAGGGAGAAAATACAAGAAATGGGGATCTGACCAGGTCTGTGATATTTAAGAGCAGATATAATGGGGTCAAAGCTATGGCCATTGGAGGTAATTAGAAAGAAGGAAATGTGAGAGGACATCTACGGTGAGGGCAAAACCATGGGCGTGGCCCCGAATTGGGGTGATTGGAATAAAATGGCGGAGGTGGGCTAAGACCATTTTGGAAGAGAAAGGTTAGGGTTGTGGAGAAAGTGTCCCTTTCCCCCTTTCTGACTCTCCCACCATTCCATGCATCCAGTGGGTTCTTCCTGTGACACGGAAGTGGCCACATGTGTGCCCCAGCTCTTCCTAGATGTGGGCTGGGAAGTCAGCTGTCCAGAGAGGTAGGAACGTGCTTGGCTAGTGCCTCGAGCAGGATTTGTTATTTGAGCTTCGGGCCCAGCCCTTCTCCTGTGAACTCAGCCCAGGGAAAACACAGCGTCTCCCCAGACCGGGACTCTCTGGAGAAGCAATTAGGAAAGAGGGAAGCCAGCCATGCTCTCTGCCTGGTCCATTTCCAGCCTGGGACCCGTGGGGGAATGCTGTTTGCGGGCTTCTCTTGCTGAGACATGACATGTCTCCAGGAGCACGTCCTGGGCCTGGCCTGCCCCATGGCACGCAGGCGAACCAGCGGTGGTGCACTGGGGAATGGTGAACCACCAGCTCTTGGTGGGAAGGGAGCTCTGATTGGCAGCCTTCGCCAACTTCTGTGGTGTAAACATTCCCACAGTGGCTGATTTCAAGCTACCAAAATGAAGCCACTGCCCCTGAGTGTGAAGCTGAGGAGAGACGTGCACACGTGGCTGCTGCCGTCTGGTAGGAACCGGCTCTAGCACACTGCCGAACGAGAAAGCTCTTAGGCTGGGAGCAAAGCGACACTGAGGCCTTGGCGGGTTCGGCATCATTTCTTGGTCCCAGGCCCTTTCTTCCTTTGTCTCAGGCTCCCAAATTTAAACTCACGCCCACTTCTCTCCTGGAGTGCCCTTCCCTCACAAGACAGACCATGCTGTATAGCACTTCGTCCCATCCTCCCTTGCTGCCTGCCAAACCAGTTCATGGGACATTTAAAGAGGACAATGGTAACATTTCCAGAAACCTTACACAGTCTTTGGGGGCCCCAGAAGCCCTCTCAGGTCATTCAGGACTCATGGTGGAGCTGCCCTGAGGGGGCCTGGCTGGCTCCCTGCTGTGATGGAAGTGTCCCCAGCACTTTGTGATGGTTCCCTCTGGCCCTCTGGATGAGGAAGAAACGTCCCTGGTGGCTTCCCAGGCGTCCTCTGTCAACTCAGTCTCTCCTGTAGGCCGACCCCCAGAGACTTCCGGAGGGCTTCCAGGCTGCCCGTTTCCCTCTCAGGCTGGGGCTGTCCTTGCACTCTGTCCAGCCTGGCCCTGCCATCAGGGAAGCTCACTTTCTTTGACCTTTTGAGCTAAGGGTCAGGGACAGGCTGGGCAGGAGCAGTATGCTCAACAGAGAGTGATGAGCAAACCTGGGGGCGCTCGGTGGGGGAGAGGGGAGGGGGTGTAGCCCTGGCTCTGCTCCTCTCGGGAGCTGCCATGATGGAATGCAGGCCCAGTGTCGCTCTTCTGACTTTCCAACCGAAGCCAGCACAAATCCAGACTTTTATGTGACACCTTACAGCTTTTAAATGTTGCAACTGGTTTATAAAGATATTGCATGAGCCAAACCTGGTGTCTCTGCCTGGATCTGGTCCTGCAGGCTGCCGGTCATGCCACAAGTTTCCTAGCTCATTCCTGGGCCCTTCCCGCCCATCTTCCTGGAGTCTGTTGGCGTGTCTGCCCCAGATCTCCCCTCTCTGCTCCCACATCAGCTGTCTTCCTGGTTCCCTCTGGGAGGAAACCTTCCTGACATTGGTTTTATACCCTCGACGCTGAGGGCATGGAAGGGCTTGGACGAGGGGAGTAAACCGCCACAGCTCAAGGCCGGTCACGTGTTCCCAAGGGGAGCTAGCCAGGACCCTCATTTTCACTAATATCATGTGTCGGTGTGCACACACCATTCATAGTGTGAACACTGGACCAACCAATGTGCCCCAAGTTTGACACATGAGCTGCAAAAGCCACCCCAACCTGTGCATGCAGGTGAGTCATGCCTTACCCCACCCTTCCAAGGTTGCTGCTCCTGCAGGAAGTCCAAGAAGCCAGGAGCCACCCAAGACCCGGGGGGCAGCCCCAGTCCCTAACATGGAAAACAGTGGGGGGGGGGTGCTGAGGGACCATTCTTTGTGGCCGGTGCTCTGATATCTTCAGTGGTCCCTTAGCTCACTGTGGCGACTGAGGCATGTCTCCCACGAACCCTGTCTTTCTGCTAGTTACCGTGGCCTCCCAGGCACACCCTTGCTTCCACAATGAAAGCCACCACTGCTTTCTGGAGGATGGGGTGACAAGAGGACGTTCCTCTCCCAGGCAAGGCTCACCTCTGGCTGCTCCTGCCAGGCGGGCCTGGGTTCCCACTGCTACACCGCTCTACACACAGACACAGTTCCTCAGCTGTGGTCACCCGTGTGGCCACTCCGGGCATGCAGATTCCGTTGCCCAGACAGGCTGAAATTCTGTCACCCAGATAGGTTGGGAGTCCGGCTAACGTGTGGCTCTGACCCCACAAACCCCTTCCCTTCCTACCCTTGCCCACCGCTCCTGCCTCTTTCTGCCCCCTTTCTCCCTGCAGCTCCACCCATGCCGCCTGGGTACTTCCAGACATGACTCAAAAACTTTCAATCTTAGAAAGCACCCAGGATATGCAAATCACCACCCCCCTCACCTCCCACCAACTTCCTGGGACCCACATATCGGTAGTTGAAAGTGGCAGTGTGTGATGGTTTGGGGAGAAGGGTGACTTGGCCCCCTCATCTGCCTGCCTGCCTGACAAGATTCCATGACTGGAGACAGAAAGGGGGTGATACGCTAACCAGAAATGGCTCATTTTCTTGGAAAAATGTTTTGTAGGATTACCTGACCAGGCACTTCTCTGTTGGTTCTATGTTGAGTTCAT